TACTGATGCTTTTATCCTTGGACACTCAATTTCGCCTCAACCAGATGTTCAACTATTGAACCCGATTGACCCTCATTCTCAAATTCCAATACTCCATGCTCTAGCAAGCAATTAATTCGACACTTGAATGCAACACAAGTCTCGATATAATGTCCTTGAGCTCCTGCGTGATATTCACAATTGGCATTGACATCATACTACTCAGGATATGGAGGTTGTAAAGGCTTCACATACTGCGGGGACACCTCTCGGGCTTCTAAAAGCTTATCATACAACTCCTTATATGATATAGGGATAGAATCAAAATGAGAGTCACCTCTAGGCTTGGATGGAACTGGAGTCTTCAGGTTTATTTCTCCTGACGATGTAAGTATACTCTCAATGCCCACGAGTTTTGATTGCATGGTTTCTTTTCATCCTTCTTGACTTCTACAATTGTCATCATTCCTTGGGGTCTCCAGACAACTTGTTGATACGAATGGTGACTATGCGTGGCTTCTCATACTGGCTAGAATCAGCAAGTTTTAAAGTAGTTCCTTGTGTATTTGACACCTCAAGGTTGCTTTCGTCGGGCTCATTCTTTTATGATGTAGAAGTCCCACTTCCTTTGGACAAATATATCCTATCCATAATCCTGGACATGCTCTTTTATCTCTTATCTCCTTTCGCTTTTCCTCAACCATGATCTTTGGGCGCATATCTCTCCACTATTCTTGACGCTTTCTTAGGATGCCACTTTTCAGCTGTATTATAGCTTGCTTGATCACGAAACCCCTTGTCCATCATGAAAGCCTTCTACTATGCTGACCACTCACAAATCGACACCTTTTGATTATGTCATGATCATGCAATGCAGACAAGAAAAAAACCACATAAAAAACAAGGTAGTACAAATAGGATAATAAAATAACAAAAAGCAACAATATCAAAATAATAAGCCAATGCAAAAATGAATGAATGCAAATGCAAATGCACGAGGTGTTAACTCCGAAAGTGACCACTTATAGAACAACCTTCATTTAGACGACAATAATTTATTACACCATATAGTCAAAATACAATTGCAACTTTTCATTTCCTTGAGTCGTACTCTTCATGGAATCTAACATTACATCCAAAGTTTTCAGTGTACTTTATCACATTTGTCGATGTCTGGTGTCCTTAAATTGAATCTTGAAATTTCCATTTTATTTCCAATGCGAAGTAGTCTTCATGTCTTTGTGAAGGGTCTTCTCGTCCTTGGTATGACTGTATCTGTCTCCTGAGGGAGCATCTCAACCTTTGCACCTTTAAAGGAAGTCTTCAATCAGCTTTAGATTTCTTCATTCATCGGATGACCTTCTTCATGGATCATTTGAACATTTTTGGATCTCCCGATTTTAACTACATGGTTAAGAATTTCTTGTCTCATTATGACCAGCATTCTTATTAGTCAATCACTTGCGAATTAACACCTTTGGATGACATGAAGATGCAAATGTAATAAATCCATAAAACCAAAATAGGTTAGTACACATAATATAAACAAAATAATAAAACCTACCCTCACATGCTGACTACCCAATCATGCTTTAATAGATCCTACCTAACATGATATCTACCCCATGCTTTGTCATTTAAAAAAATCCTAACCGCATGATATTTAATTCGTACTTTTTAAAAACAAACCTAACACATGATCTCTAATTCGTATGCATTTATTTGAAAGGAAAAATATATTCTATGAATTTAAAGAAAAGGGTTTAGAAACACTCATCCTATATGTACACTTAATTTGAGTTCCTACTGACAAACAGAGGTTCAGTATAGTTATACCTAGAGTGACCGTTCTACGGTTCATATATGCATGGTTTCAGCTCTATAAAAGAAAAGGTACTCGAATTGTCCTTGATGTTAGTGCCCCCTTGGGTTGCCAACCCTTAATCCTCACCATTATAGGCTTAAACGGATCGATTTCAATTCAAGAGGATACATTCTCTTATGTCTATGAGGAGAATAAATTCTCACGAAAACATAAGGTATATGAATCCCGAAGGTTACTTGCTAGGCCTGCACGGAGAATAAATTCTCACGAAGGCGTCGCTTTCGCCCCCACTTAGAAAGGTTCGGAGCTCGGGTATAGAGCTTATGTTATGCAAATACGTGACGTGTGTGAGGAGGAATATTCAACCCTTTGACTCAAAAGGAAAATGACACAATTCGACAAAACTTTGGACAAATCTGAAAACAAAGATAAAAATGTTAGTAAGACAATAATAAAATGAAGCAATTAAAAACTTCAATAAAAGGATCATAAGTTAACTAAGACTCGAACACATAATTTCTACCACAACAACAATGAGTAAGCGACTTACAGACTGACTCTCTAAAAAGTCCCCAGCGGAGTCGCCAAGCTGTCGTAACCATTTTCGGCGGGGACAATCGTTTAATTGTTTGAAAATGATTACGACTTTTATTTTGGAAAATGGGTGATTTTGGATCAATTTGTATAAAATTGAAAAGAGTCGCCATCGACCTTTGGGTTAGGTAGGTCAAATACCTAAAAATGTCTTTTAAAACAATTTTAAGAGAATCATTTTTAAAAACAAAAGATAGTCTGCGTTTACCAAAGATTCGTTTAAAACGGGTTCGGGAGTCGGTTACGCGTGGGGAAGGATTAGCACCCCACAGCGCCCAAAATTGGTATGTTTCGCTTACACGTTGTAATATAAAATATTGAATCGAATATAAAGTTAAAATATGATCCTTTTATCGAAGCTAAATTTGTTTTGAATTAAAAAAAAACTTTAATATGAAAAGAAATCTCGACATTAACACCCTTTGTCAGGAAAGCTATCTCATCTATTTCTTATTCATAAAAGAATATTCTCTTTGATAAAATACGAATCAAATAAAAATGAATATTGACATTTGGCATAAAATAAACAAATTAGTATTTTGAAACATACATTGCATTATTTGAATAAAATCATATTAATTATTAAATATACAGACTTATTTCAAGTTCTTATGTTGCTAAAATATCTACCGGATCGCACCACTTCGACCAAGTAATGCTTTCCACTCTTATTCTAAACATATGTGTTCTTGAAAATATTCGAGTAAACAAACGTCGAAAATAAATAAATGAACGTTTTATACACCATTAGGAACTAACTCTAAAAGGTACACATATATACATGCATTTATAAATATAAGTACATAAATATAACATGTAAAACATGTATACACTCAAAATACGTATACAATATTTAATATAATAACAAACGTATAGTGATATTCACAATAAAGAACACATATAATAATCTTAAAATATTACTGTGAATTAAATAAGCAAACAAATATTCATTCATATAAAGGAAAATAACAGTGGCCAAATAACTAACGTATTTAAACAAATATAACCCTAAAACTTTTTATATATATTCTAATGTAAAAAGCCTAACCCTAAACTTATACTAAACCTAACATTCAGCCGTTTCTTATCTCCCTCTCTACTCTTCTTCTTCTTCAATCAAAACCACCCTCATAGCTTCCATCTCCGCCTTGATTTTTATTTATTTTTTTACCTCTCAAGATCACTCTCCTAGGCCTACAAACGGCTGCCATGTTTGAAGGAGACCATTGTTTGCCAGCACTCGACAATACCCTTTACTCCGACTGCCACAGAACTCAAACAACTAAGGTAACAGAATCTCATTACTCTCCTTACTCATTTTCTTTATTTTGTTTCGATTTTTTTTGTTTTCCTGGAATTAATCTCATCCCCCTAACTATTTAGCTATCTAAACATTTAAAACTCCCCAATACCTTTCATTAACGATCCTTTCTCTTTGGTCACCGTCCATGGTGGTCGATTGAACTTTAAGCCAACCTAAAACATAAACGCACCTTCCTCTCTATTCTAAATCCAAAATACTCTATATAACGACCCTAAAAACTAACACCTGACCATGTTATCTTCTTAATTTACAAATCTGGTGAAATGGGTAAACTACCAAGGTTAGCCACTAAGCTAATTTCTTTGGTTATTAATAATTCAATGATGGTTGGTGGGTGAATTCCTCTGCCTTTTTTATGATTTTCGCTTATTCGTTTATTTTGAAATGCACCACACACATACACTCAATGCATAAAAATATAAATGGAATACCTCATAAAATTATCAATATTGATTTCGAAAAAGATGGGAAGACTCTGCTACACATCTCGACACTTGAACATGGGGTAAGGAAGAATCCTTTTACACTCTCTTTTTTCGTATTTATTGTTCTTCTCTCTAAACAATATTAATCTGTTTTTTCTTATCGAGACCCCCCTCTCCTTGAATTCCTCCCTCCTTTCCCTTCTTTATGGTTGATTCCTTCACCGAATTCCCTTGTCCTTTTCTTTTTTTTTCTTGCGTTTTGGATGTTGATGTTTAGTTGGGATTAGGTGTTGTTTTGACATGGGTTGTCGTTGACTTGGTAGATTTGTGTAGGTTTATCGATGGTGACAGCTCGGGATATCTCGGCTTGATATCTCTACGATGGCTTCGGCTTACAACTGGTGGCGTGTGACGGTTGTTGGCTCGAGATGAGCTGGTGTGCGGCAACTGTTGGCTCGGTGAAGGATCTGGTGTGGCTGGGGAAGCTGGCGGCGGCTTTGGTTTAGAGATTAGGGTTTCAAAAACCCTAAAGTTGTTGGGTTTTCATTTGGGATGCTTGGGTTTGCTTGTTGGGTCACTGGTGTTGGGCCTCTTGGTATTTGTAATTGGGCCTGTAAATATTGTAAAATAATATTAATAATAATAATCATACTATAGTATATAATAATAAATATAATATATATTTTAATCCCAATCAAAAAAATGGGTGTCTACACTTCCCATAGAATGTAAATGTAGGCACACCAAGCAAGCTTGAGAGTAGTGGTAAGGAGGGACTTGCCTTTCCAAGTGTTGGAAGCCCAGGTTAACAGGTCATCCCATGAAGAGCAGGATTTTGTAATTCTGTTAATAATCAGAATTTTGTTCCATAGAAATAAACAATGGAAAATTCAAAGAACATGTGATTTCTGGTTTCCATAGCTTCATTACATAGTACACAACTCCCATCAGTAGTAATTCCCATACGCTGCAGGCGATCGCGAGTAGACAATCTGTCGAGGGTGGTCATCCAGGCTAGCATGCTGTGTTTGGGAACATGTTGTGGAAACCATATCAAAGAATGCCGTGGAACTTTTTCTTCCTTCACCCTTATCTCCTGCCAAATATCCTTTATAGAAAGAGCACCATTCAAGATTGATATGGTTACTTCAGTTCGTAGCTTGAGTATTCGGTTTAAACCCCAACTATAGTTTGCATTTCCTACCAATTGCCACAAGTTGCTATCCCGTATAACATAGGAATTAATCCAGGCTACCCATAAAGAGCCCCCTCTAGCCAATATATTCTTTATGAGCTTAATCATACAGGCTTTGTTCCAGATTTTAAGGTTGTTCAGTCCAAGTCCTCCCTCTGATTTTTGCTGATAGATTTTGGTCAAGCTAACTCTTGCCCCTGAGTAATTAACAATGTTGAACAAAACTGCTCTTATGAGTTCCAGTCTTTCAGCGTAACTCAATTTTTTTACAGACCATATAGTGAGTCTTGCTTTAATACTAGCAATAAGAGGGTCACAATCTTTCTCAGAAAGTTTTCTAGTAGTCAGTGGGACACCAAGGTATCAAACAGGTAAGCAACCGTAGGAAAATCCAGTAGCTTGTTTAATCTGCTCGATGTTCATCGTTGAAATTCCAGCAAGGAAAAAACACACTTAGCACTATTTAGATTCAGTCCAGACAATTCATAAAAGTGATCAAGAACATAGATGACTTCAATGACAGATTCTACATTGGCCTTACAGAATATCAATAAGTCATCAGCAAATGAAAGGTGAGTGAGCCCTATTTTCTTACATTTTGGATGGTAACTAAAGAGACCTCTAGCAGTAGCCATATTCAACATTTGGGAAAGAATATTCATGGTAATTACAAAAAGAATGGGTGAAAGGGGGTCACCTTGGCGAATGCCTCTTGCTCCTTTGAAGTAACCAATTAGGCTCCCATTGAAGGAGATAGAGAATCTAGCTTCTTTGAAGCAAGCTTTAATCCAGTTTATAAATTTTTGGGGGAGGTCCAATGCTTTCAAGACAACATATATAAAACCCTTAATGAAGAGTGTCGAAAGCCTTTTGGAGGTCAATCTTCAATGTACATCTTGGGGATATAACTTTTCTATCATATCCCTTAACTAGTTCTTGGGCCAAGAGAGTATTGTCAACAATGCTCCTGCCTTTAATGAAGGCAGTTTGATTGATAGAGACCATTCCAGGGATGAGACGGATCAGTCTTTGGACTAAAATCTTGGTTATGGTTTTATATATGACTGAGCAACAGGATATAGGCCTGAAATCCTTGACTTTAATGGGATTTGGAGTTTTTAGTATTAGAGCAATAGTGGTAGCGTTGAATGCAAGAAGCATTGAAGAATGCTGAAAAAAATATTTTACAGCTCCCACAACATCCTCTCCAACAATGGTCCAAGCCTTTTTGAAGAACAATGGAGTGTAACTATCCGGCCCCGGGGCTTTGTCGTTGCCTTGAGCAAAGATAGCTTCTTTGATTTCTTCGGTGGTGACATCTTTGGTAAGGTTAGAGGAGAGATCAGTAGGCATTGAATATTTTAGAATGTCTTTCAAGAACTCATGGTCACAACCTTTAACTTTATTGTCCACTTTCCCAATTAAATTCATAAAGAATTCTTACACTTCGGAAGCCATTGCATCAAAGGTTTCAAGTCTTAATCCTTGATCACTAATGAGCATTTTGGATAGTATCCTTCTTTTTCTTAACAGCTACTGCAGAGTGGAAGTATTTAGTGCATCTGTCCCATTGTTTGATCCATTGAACCTTTGCTTTTTGTTTCAAGAACATGAGCTCGGCTTCTTCAAGGATAAGTAAATCTTTTTGTAATTGTAGTTCTTTATCAAAAGAATCCTCACCCTTTAAAGAAACAAGTTGTTGTTTTTCTAATTCAAGCTTCTTAGCCTTGACCCGAGAAGGTAAATCATTGTAGCAAGAATTGTTGAGATTTTTAAGTTCATTCTTGAGGCGTTTGAGTTTGAGGAACAAAACCTTCATGGGACTACCAAGGGCAGTAGGATACTAGGACTGCTCCACAATTCTCAGGAAATTGGGATGAAGTATCCATAAATTAAAGAATTTAAAAGGTTTGGGGTTGTTGGTTGGAGCTTCTTTAGATAGCCATACCATAGTTATACAGTGGTCTGAAACTCCTGGAGCTAAGAATTCAATAGCAGAGTTATGAAAAGTTGTAGCCCAATTTGAGTTAATAAGAACCCTGTCAAGCTTTCTAGCAAGATAGGAACCAGATTGCTTATTGCTCCATGTGAAAAGAGGACCAAAGAAGGGGTTATCATAGAGGTTAAGATCTTGGGAGACTTCCTGGAATTCTTTCATTTCAGGGGAGGAGGAAGGGAATAACAATTCATGGTCTGAAGATTCATAAGGGTGCAGAGTGATGTTGAAGTCACCACCTAGTATCCAAGGAAGATGACCAATGTTTCTTTCCAAGTTTTATAGCTGATGCCACAGCTATCTTCGAATGATGTTGTCATTGCTTCCATAGACAACAGAAATAACAAATGGAGTTCCTAGGAATATTCCTTTGATAGTTATGATCTGATCAGAAGTTTGAATAACATATAACTCTATATTTTTCTTCCATAGAATCCAAACTCCCCCATTAACAACAAATCCATAGTTTGTACTAACATTCCAGCAAGCAAGTTTAGTATTAAAAATATTTCTGGATTTCTCTTCTTTAACTCTAGTTTCTAACAAGCATAAAATATCAACTTTATTCTGAGAGGCTCTAAGAAGTACCTTGTCTTGTTTTAGAGAATTATTGAATCCTCTAGTGTTTCAAAAACTGACAATCATTGAGAAGGAGGGCCTGTGGAGGAACTTGCACCCCTTACACAGAAATTTTGACTTTATCTAGTTTGCTCTTCTTTTTCTGATTGAGCTCTTTTACCAGTTTGGCTACACCCTTGGAAGCATGTCGACTTGCTCTTTGAGGCACATCGAGAGTTGAGTAGTTGTCTTCAACCGAGTTAAGTATTTCAAATCTATTGCTTGAGCCTGCGAAAGAGGCTTTATCCTTAGTTGGTGTTCCTCTAACTTTTTTAGGAACTGATGTTCCCTCTTTAGATGGAGGAATGGAGTCAGTAGGAATTACATAAACTTTATCATGAGAGCCATCATTTGAGTCTGATGGAACTTCATTAGGAACAGTACATGTAAAGTCAGTAGGAACAGATTTACTTGCAGGATCTTTTATTTGGCAGCCAACAAAGGAATCAGGTAGAACTTCATTTAGATCAGCACAGTTAGGATTAGATGCGTTAATCGTCTCATGAATAGATACAACAAGATCAAAATTAGTAACAACTTGAACCTTAGAGAGTTCTGGTTCTACTAGCGTGGAAGTGGAATTAGAATTGGAATCAAATTTTCTCTTCCAAACTTGGGTAGGATTTGTGTTAGTTTTGACCAGACAGATTTTTTCATTATGACCAAACACCTTACATTTCCTGCAGCAATGAGGCAACCAAGGAACCTCTATGTGAATCGAAGTGGTTATGTTATCTTTAAGAACAACTTCTAAGGTTTTGGGAATGACATCTTCAACTTCTATTTCAACACAGATCTTTGCAAACTCTAGTCTAGTTTTAGAGGTTGTAACCGAGTCCATCGAGATAGGAATACCAATGCCACTAGCAATATAGCTTAAGCCTGCTTGTGAATAAAGTTCTAAAGGAACGTTGAACAGATGAACCCAGATAGGGATTTTGGACAAATCAAAGTTCAAACGTTTAAGATAGGGTTCCTATTTTCTTAGAATTAGGGGTTTGTTTAGTATATACCAAGGGTCATTTTCGATAGCCCAATCCCTAGCAGTTTTAGATGAAAAAGAAAAGACATATAGGTTGCTCCCCGCAATACTCACCTGAACACGTGAACCTTGCAGAGCTTTCGTCCACAGCGAGTCAACAATTCTTTCCAATGTTGTGAAATTAGGCGCTGGTCTGAGAAACTGCCCCACTAAAGATGATTTCCACTCGGAGATTCCGGCTTCTAGGATCTCTGGAGGAGGATTGATCGTTGGAATCCCATCTCTTATAGTCGGGGGATGGTAGTTTAGGGATTGACTGGTTGAACTCCCAAAAAGTTTTCTCCAATCCATGCGATTGAAGGGAGAAAGCTTGAAAGAATCCCGACTTAAAACAAGCTAAAAGGACAAGAGGTTTTCCGGAGACACGACGGGTTTTCCTGTTCCGTTAGACCTGCTAACAGACGAGGATCGTTCGATCGAAAAATTAACCCAATGCAACTATTATTTAATATGTACTATATAACATGCTATTATTATTTAATATGTAATCTCCTAACAAAAATTATACACTATATGATATATCTAATATGTCAACTATATACTATATACATATTATATGTTATACACATGCCCACACATTTATTATATCACTATATTATAATATGAAAACTGCCACATGATACCATCCGGATAAAATGGGTGATGACATATATAAAAGCTCGATGAAGAAATTTATGGTAACAAAGTTAGAATTTTAGTCTTATAAAACTTTTGTTATAAGATCTGAGAGCTTAAAAAAACACCTTGTTTTTGTTTATTTTATTGTGATTTTATCGTATTCAATTGTAATAAATCAAATGTTATTCAAATTTTATATCAAATTTTATTTACATTATCAATATCAATTAAATTCATCTTTTATATTATGTTTTATATGTGTTATAATTGTTAGATAAATTTTCTTTACATAAATTAAACTATATAATTTATATTTAAAATAATTTTATTAACCATGTTCAATGCCAATAAATTACTCTAACTTGTAATCATAATAATTAATTTAATTAATAATGTTCGATTCATAAATTACTTGATAAAATAAAATTAATGATTATATCGAAGATTTATAACATAAGAATCAGAATATAAGAATCATAATTAATATAATAAATCTATTTATCAATTTAATTATCATAATTAATATTTTTTTATAACATTTAAAATTTAATCATATTAAGATTTATAACATAAGAATCATAATATAAGAATCATAATTAATATAATAAATATATTTATCAATTTAATTATCATAATTAATATTTTATTATAACATTTAAAATTTAATCATATTAATTAGTATGGTTTATTATAAACTCAATTTTATTAAAATCTTATAATTTCATCAATGATAATATATAAGTAAGGTAAATGTCAAGTAAGGTAAATATCATATCATGTTAATAACAAGTCAAATCATTTACAGGTCAGGTTGAAAACAGGTCGGGTTCATAATAGGTCAGGTTGAAAATAGGTCGAGTAATATCAGTTATTTACCAGATCAATCTCAGGTTCAAGTTCATACCAATCGAATGCAGGTCGGGTTTGGGTATTATATTTTTCGGTTCAATTCGGGTTCAAGTCGTTCTCAGGTCGGGTTCAAATCCACAATTTCCAGGTTAAACTCGGGTTCAGGCCAACACCAGTTCCGACTCGAATCGATTACGGATCGTCACAACATATCAAAAATAATTTTAACTCGAATCATTTTTAGTCAATTTTACTATTCTGATCAACTTTTCTACACCCCTACTTGCATGTTACCCAAGTCAAAGTGTGGAAGGCAAGAAAAAGGACGAATGAGATACGAAAATGGGACAATTTATTGATTTCTGGAAACCCCGTTTCTTGCTCTTGTTATTTGTAACGTAGTTTTCTCAACATATATTAACAGAAATTTAAAATAATTATCGGTTGATTTAATGACACGAGAGATTAAATCTCTAAAATATAAATAAAAAGTTAAAATGATATTGTACAAGGAAGAAACCGGTTGGAAAGGTTATTCATATATTGAGTTTTAATTATATTTGCTTTGGAGTTAATATATCCATACTAATTATATTAATTATATGTTAAATGTATTTCCCCCCTTAAAAGTTAGAGAGTGTAACAATTAAAATATTTTTATAAATTATCATTCAAATATTTATAATTTAATATTAAAGTTTAACTTGTTGAAAAAAAAACATATATCACATGGATAATTTAATAAATATACATTCAAGTAATCTTATATTATTTTAACTAAATAATATTATCTTACATACCTGCTAAATAAACTAAACAAAATAATATAACATTATCAGAATAATGTTACATTATAGTAATTTTATTTCTAATGATAATCTTATATTCCGAATGATTCATTTCGAGACATGTTGGAATGCCTTTGGCCTATGTAATATGTATGCGATAGTTTCAAATATCGGTAGATACGAGTTACGTGGATTCATATTACTGTTTTACGGTGGAGGTTCAAAAAAGTTTTTTTTACTGTTTGAAATTAAAAGTTTAAATACAACCACAAGCAGTACATATTCGAGTGAGAAATATAAATAGTAATTAATGAGGATTAAAACCCAATTGTGGGTATTAAAATTGTAGTCCCTTTCGTTAATATTTTTTAATTGTTATTATTACTATTTAATAAATTTTTATTAAATAAAATTTATTTTGTGTTTTTTTTTAATTTCTTAAAACTCACTTTAACCGATGGTTTATTATATATACATATATTATAACTGCAAATACATGCATGATGGATAAATATCGAAAAGGGTCATAAATTGCTGAGTTCCCTTTGAAGGCAAACGTTAAGACCTCATTTTCAAATCATTTTCCATGTATTTAATGAAAGGGCCAAACCCTATGTGAAGGCTTTCCCTTATTTCTATCTTTTTTTTTCAAAAAAAAAAGTTTAATATAAAGAATTTAATTTTAAGATTAATTTATTTCAATTCAATCCTCAAATTGACATCACTCCCATTATAAGTTTGATGTTCTAAAATTTTCATATAAGTAGGAGCTAATTACATTGTAAGAAACTCTTTTAGTTTTCACATTAATTTAGGATCATTTGATAAACATAAATAGATGGATGAGATTAAAACTTAAAAACGGAGAGATTTTTACAAGTAAAAAAAGCGGTGAACAATTTGAATGCATAAAATTTTAATCTTAACCATCGATTTACATTCATCCAATAATCTCAAATCAATATACAGTTAATAAAAATTACACAATTATAAGTGACTTCTATCCTATTTCGAGGACGTAGGTTAAAGAGACCTCGATGAAGCCAACGTGCTTGTTAAATGAAAACGGCATTAATGTGAGAGGAAAATAAATTAAATGGTGTGTATTGCTAGTTGCTGGCTACTTGTCTACACATTTAAGTAGGGTTTTAGTCTATCAATTCCACAAATAGCTTTATCTTAGCCAATCTGCTTCCAAGAGTATTGATAGGCCACTGTGATCTATATTATATGTGACCATATTATATATGGGACAGAATTCATGTCCTTCGTTCCGAATTTTCTTTATGTGCATTATTTTTAATATAAGGTTGTATATGTTCATTATTAACATACCGTCCAAGTTGAAACATGTTCAAATTCATATTTTCTTCCCAAGTTGGGTTATTTTGAAATTATTGGAATAAGTGAGGTCCCATTGTTAATTTTAAATGGTCTAGGTTCTTTTGTTCTGATAATTCTCCTGCATGCATGAATTTTGGTAAGTGTTTTGTTTTCTGGCATAATGAAATTTTATTAAAATATATTCCATGGTAGTTCATTACAAATTTTTTAATTGACATTAAAATTTTCTAATATCAATAGTTAGATTTATTAGATTATTTCAATAAAATACATAAATTTTCCAAAAAAAACATTATTCATAAAATTCCAAGATTGAAAATTTATTATTACTAATAGGGTAAATTATATGTTTAGTACTTAAACTATTATTTTTGTTCCGTTTTGATATCTAAACTTTATTATATTTTTTCAAAATCATACCTAACGTTTCATTTTGGTATGTACGACACCATTAAAACTTAACGGTGATGTTGACATGTCACCATAAGATAATGTCATATCATCATTGGAAAAAAATACCCCATCAGCAATTCTATTAATTTTCTAACGGCGGGTGTGTCAAATTGAAACTTAAACTAAAAGTTAGATATGATTTTAAGAAGAATAAAGTTTAGATAGCAAAATGAAACAAAAGTAATAGTTTAGATACTAAAGATATAATTTAGCCTTAATAATAATAAGGGAGTGAAAGGAGGGTCAGATGCGGTGAGCATAGGTGCAAATAAACAGTCTAAAAGCACAGGGTGACTTTTGATAAGCAAAGAGGGGAATGTATAAGCTAGGAAACATTATTATTTTTTTAACATTTTCGATAAAGTTATATTTAAAATATTATTTTTTTTATAAAAAATGTTAATATTAAGAATTATCTAAAATATTTAATATTTTCGATAAAGTGTTATTTAAAATAATTTTTTTTACTGAAAATATTAATATTGAGTTATACCAAAAATTAATTAGCGAAAATAATATTTTTAATAAAAAATAATATTTTAAATAATAATTTATCAAAAATATTAAAATAATAATAATATTTATTTAACCGTATATTAAGATTGCTACAACAACATAAATACCCGCCAAGAGTAAATGCTGCTCGACTCTTATTTTGTGCTGCCTATGCAAAATCCACCCCTTTACCTCATCACTCAGTCAGCGTAAAGACCTTTTCTCTGTATATATAAACAAAACAAACCTCTTGCCTTCCCTCAGGCCATTAGACAAAAAAGAAGGGGGGGGGGGGTGAACCCAGATTTCAAGCTCTAGCTACCTATAATTCTCATACTCTCTAGCTCTATTTGGACAATCAGAAACCCTGTATTCTTCTTCCTCAAGTTGTGTTAAACTTTGAGGTTAAGAGATATGGGTAGACCACCTTGCTGTGACAAAATCGGTGTGAAGAAGGGACCATGGACTCCTGAAGAAGACATCATATTGGTCTCTTTTATTCAAGAACACGGTCCTGGAAACTGGAGATCAGTTCCCACTAATACTGGTATCTACTTATCACTTCTCTTTCTCTTTTGTTAGTTGGTTCCATTAAATAGGTGCAATAAATATACATGCATCTCTGAAAAAGAACATTAAATTTCATCTTGGATTCTTCCCTCTTCTCTCCTTTCAGATTTGTGAGTTTTGTTGTTCATTTTTCAGGTTTGCTTAGATGCAGCAAAAGTTGCAGGCTTCGATGGACTAACTATCTTCGTCCCGGTATCAAACGTGGTAATTTCACTGAACAAGATGAAAAGATGATCATCCATCTCCAAGCTCTTTTAGGAAATAGGTTAGATATTGTTGCTTTGATATATTATGTTGGTAATCGCGATAAATTTATTTAGGCTAATAATGAAAATTTTCTGGTTTTTGTTTCTTGGGTGCAGATGGGCTGCCATAGCTTCATACCTTCCTCAGAGAACAGATAATGACATAAAGAACTATTGGAACACCCATTTGAAGAACAAGCTGAAAAAGCTTCAAACAGGCGTTGATGGCCAAAACGAAGATGGGTTTTCAAACAGATATCAAACAGATATCAAGATGGCTAAACAAGCTATTTCTGAGGCTTTATCGATCGATAAACCGAACTCGATGGAGTCGGTCGAGTTCAAGCACACTCATCCTTACTTGAGTACCATACAGTCTCAATCACAGTCATCTATTTACGCATTGAGTGCCAAGAACATATCACGGATGCTCCAGAACTGGATGAAAAATCCACCCAAGACGGCAGCTCACCGAGCGAATTCAGCAGAAACCATGACCCAGAATTCCAGTTGCAGTACCGATGGAGGAGCCTTGTTCAGCGAAGCGACGCCCGAGGGTTTCGATTCGTTCTTCAGCTTCAACTCGTCTAACTCGGACAACGTTTCTCACGAATCCGTGTCGGTGAGTAACGCGAATTTGACACCGGAGAACAGCGTGTTCCAAGACGAAAGCAAGCCCCATTTTGGGGATCAAGTGCCGCTGAGATTGATAGAAAAATGGCTGTTGGATGATGGTTTGGCTCAGGATCATGATGAAGAAGACCTAATTAGCATGCCTTTAGAGGATACTGCTGGTTTGTTTTGAAAAAGAAAAAGAAAAAGAAGCAATGGGAAAAATATCGTATACAAGTTTAAATTAGGGTTTCTTTTCTTTTTCTTTTTTTCAATTAGGTCCTTCTTCTATAGTGTATAACCAGAAAGATAACGCCCTCTTCTGGAACAAGAAGCAAGAATCAAGAAATGTGAATTACAAGTATATTGTCTATCTGTCTACGTTATTATATGTACTGGTTCATAATAAATTAGAAATACCTAAATACAAAATCACCAATTAACATGGAATTTATTATTGTTGTTGTTGTTGCAGCACTTTAATTATGTATTCAATGTTAGAAACACAAAGCATGGAATTTTCTCATATTGAATAGGAAAATGCTTCTTCTAGTTGAGTATTTATGTAGCTTTTGTTTTCTTTGCTTGTTGATTTGTTGAAGACATGTTCTTCATATCATATGTGCGTTGCTAGCCCGGTACATGACTTATACTTACATACTAATTATGTGTCTTTCACATACATCACGATCGTATAATTTTTATAAAAAAATATCGAGATAATTTTTCTAAAAGTTTTAGGTTGTATTCGATTTGATATTTTAGTAATTTAAGAGACTGTTATTGAAATTATAACACCGTTTTAACCGTTAATTTTCAGCAATCCCTATGATTTTGCATTGATTATTTCGACGGTTTTAAACAACTAATTTAGAGCAAAATTAAAGTGATTGACAGATAATCCATTAATTATATTTAATATAATATTTTCTTGATGTTTTTAACTCTCCTCCAGTCTATAAATACAGAGTGTTTTTTTTTTTTGTTCATTTCATATCGCTCAAAATATAATTCTCTCTATTTACTTTCATCTTCGAGTTCTTTTATTATTATTTTTATCTCTCCAAAAGTTTCTCTTGGCCCGAAATTTATGAGACAATGTACGGAGTTGACCTAAGATGATGATGGGTCGGTCTAAGTGCATAATTAAACTCATGAGGCAAGTTGGATGTCGTTGGGAGAGATTTAGGTTCATTTAGGGTAAATGTGGAAGGACCAAAATGATAAATAACCCATTTAAAATAGACTGATTTTCTGCACCGTGCATGGGAAAGCTTAGGTAAAAGCTTCTTCCCACACTACTTATTCTTCCATTCTTATTTCTCTGACTTTTCACCCAAAGCACTATAAAATTTAAATAAACCAACTTTGTATTGTATTAGTAGGATTTAAGGTTAAAAAAGGTAAGAATCGTTTTTAGAAATTTTCGGGCTTCAAAATGAGATCAATATAAGTACTCATTTAATAAGTATAGAGCAAGAAAAGAGTTTTAAGAGGGTTTTAGTCTTGAAGCTAAACTAAGAGTAAATTAGGGGAAATTAGCCTATGAACATCTATTGGTGTTTTAAGGTAATGTACTCGTAATTTTACTGTGTATCACGAACTTAGTAAATATGATACTTTGTGTGCCGTATGTTGGTTATTGAGAGTGCTTGTATATCAAGAATGTTTGGTGAGCACACATCCTTCTTATCCCATTGAACATCCATTTTCTTACCATTAAATATGCTTAGTTTCTAATTATTTATTCTGTATAAAACATTTTTAACAGTTAAATTATATAAATAAATATAGTATTCTATATTGATATGATAAATATATTCTATTGATTAAAAACTTCATGTATACGATAAATATAATTATATCAATAATTTCATTAAAAAATCGTCAAAATCATGACGTTGAAACCTCAATTAAAAGTAATGGTGACATGTTGTTAGGGAGTTGTTGAATATAATTAATACCACAGATAAGTCAGCATTAGGTTTGCACATAATTAAGTTTTGATTATGATTTTATTAACACATAATTAATAAGGTAGCGAACCCATTAATTATACTCAATAGTTAAAAGGAGTAGTATTCCTTTTAGAAGTATTGAGTTCGAATAATTACGTCTATATAATGTGTGTACGTTATCGATGACTAATAAATATAACCCAAGCGTGTTTATGAAATTTCATTTGAAATAGGAAAAAAACCTCTTTAATGTCATTCATGTGAAGGCTGACTTATTTTTGTGTCCTATAATTTCATGTGTAATACTGTAAAATAGCAGGGGTAGTTTTGTTGTACAGAAACCTTAATTTACAGCTAAGGAAAGGTGTTGTCGGAAATGTTAATGTTTTTTTAATATTTCCAGTAAAACACTACCTAAAATATTATTTTTATTGAAAATGATAATTTCACTACCTAATTTTCAGTAGAAAAAATAACATTTTAGGTAGCGTTTGATATTAACATTTCCGGTAGAAAAAGTAATATTTTAGGTATCGCTTTACCAGAAATGTTAAACATTTTAGGTAGAGCCCGATATTAACATTTTAAGTAGAAAAAAATAATGTTTTAGGTAGCGCTTTACCAGAAATATTAAAAAATATTAATATTTCCAGTAGCGTATTTCCTTAGCCGTATATTAAGTCTGCCGCACCTTAGACATCCCCAAATACCAGAAGATAAACCAAATCCCACATGAACATTTTTTGCACTCAACATGCATATAATTTTCTTAGTTATTAAATTGTCTAAACAATGAATTTCGAGTTCAATTGATAACTTTTTTGAAATGTTTAAATATTAATTTAATATTGAATATAATTTATAATTAGCATGCAATATATTTGATTTTGTTGCTTTTTAAATAAAAATTGCATATTTGTTATATAAAATTAAGATTATAATAATGTGATTTATTGATAATATATATATGACAATATCTCTATCACATATTTATTTGCAAGACAAAGCATGTGCATCTACACATACTCTCTTTTAAAACCAATCAATAAGAAAAGCTAATTGGTCCCCTATATGTCGCAAAATTTTCGTGTCTTGTTTTCTTAGGGTCTATTCCCCACTAATACATGATCTTAAAAAAAGATTTGGATTATATTTTGTATGAGATTCATATATATATATATTCTAATTAAATAATGAAACGTATTATTATAATATATATCTTCATCTGATTGGATGATTAAATCTATGGAATTTAATTAAAATTAAGATCAAATTAATATAATGTATAAGTAATGAGGACTCAATGTGTAATTATACTAATTTTATTGACTATCACATCAAATCTTCCGTTGATTATCAATGAGTGACTTGATTGATATACTTTAAATAATTAAGTGATATGATTGACGGAATTAAAAAAATAATAATTAGATTAAAATTTACTTGGATCGTCGTCAAACTTTGTTTCGGATATGTTTAAAACCAACGAGCCAACCACGTTTACAAAGATTGGCAGACCCCAGACCCAAAACAATGGGCCTAGACTCAACGTGGGTATCACGAACATGACTCACCATTTCAACATTGTCGGATTGAACAACGAGACATTTAACTTAGGATTGAGCAACGAAATCGAGAAAATTGAAAAATCGACACGAACCGAGTAAAATGGTTCGGTTCGGTTTGGTTTGACTTTAAACGGTTTGGTTTTCGGTTCGGTTTAAAGGCTTCATTTTTTTGATTCGGTTCGGTTCGGGTTTTTCATATGGAACCCATTTGTTCCATATTGAACCGAATAGACAACTTTTGTAAAAAACATTATAGTTTCAAGTGATTTTTTCATTGAAAAACCAAAAAACCGAACCGAACCGAAAAACCTGAACCGTTAAAAAAACCGAACCGAACCGATAAAACTGGTTTCGGTTTTTTCAGTTTTTTAACTATTCCGTTTCGGTTTCGGTTTAAATATTGAAAAACCGTTTATTTCGATTCGGTTTAATTTTTGGTAAAAAACCGAACCGAACCGAACCGAACCGAACCGAATACACCCCTAATTTAACTTATTGTGACCAATGCAAGACGCCCCAAACATATTTGTTTATTAATAAAAAAAAGTTTAGAATATATTTTATCATTCAATTTTAATATTACTTTTATTCTTATTATTGTGTTTAATTTTTTTTTTCCAAAAAACAATCATTTAATTTTTATGTTATTCCTGTTTTGATGTGTTGTGATATGACAAACAATAACTAAACGACACCACTTTAAAAAATTAAATTAATATAAAATGACGTCGTTTTGGATTAAAATCTTTTTGTCTTTGTCTTCTTTGTTTTCATTTTTCTTCCTCCTTTTTCCTGTTGAGTTACACAAATTCCGGCTTCCACCCATATTCAACGACGACAGCTAATGATCCTAAACTATTATATCAAATTCTTTTCATCCTTTTGAACGCGAAGCACATATCCGTTTTGTTGAATAAATAAATGTATAGGAAAGCAGGAACCTTGTTGAGTAAATAAATCTGTAGAAGAGACTGGGAACCTTGCTACACTATGCGTATAACAGAAAGAAAAGACGAAGAAAAAAACAAGTACAATCATATCCTTTTTCTGACTAACAGCCTCACCAGTCACCACTTCTTCTATCTGTAAAACGACCAAAAACAAGATTAAAATGTCTTAACATCTGTTGTGAATAGGGTCGGATCCTTTGTCAACACTTCTTTTGTTCGATTGATTCAGATCAAACACAGTCGAAGGTGCCGGCGCCGAACTCGGTCGTTTCCGCAAAGGATCCATCGACTCGACAGCCTGGAGAATGCGTGAACTTTCAATGCCTCTAATGGCGGAAACAGTCGCTGATTGAAACACCAAGAGAGCAATACAAGAAAAGAGAATGAACCCTCTTATCTTCGCTGAAAACCCCATTCTTTTTAATGTTATAAGAGATAGAGAGATGGAAGATAAGACGTAAATGTGTTTGTTTCCGAAGACAAATTATGGGGGGGGGGACTTTGTTGTCTGTTTGAGACCGAGACAAGCAACGGGTTATGGTTGCATGGCTTTGGCTTTGTATGATGTGAGTGCAGCAACGAAACCTGTTCTTTTATGGGATTCGAAAGACTAAAAAGAGCATGATAAAGCAATCCCGGTCCCATTGTAGGGAAGTTTCAGATTCACTTCAATCATTAGCCTGCCATGGAAGCAACATAAAAGCTTTGCATTACAAGATTCTGACATGTTTGAACAAAAAGTT